TCACGTGAATAAGATTACACATAAGGCACGTGGATATAATTAACAAGTAAACGCGTCAGGTAACCGAGGTCACACGACTGTAATAAAACATTTATATTGGTTACAAATGTCACGTGAATAAGATTACACATAAGGCACGTGGATATAATTAACAAGTAAACTCGTCAGGTAACCGAGGTCACACGACTGTAATAAAACATTTATATATTGGTTACAAATGTCACGTGAATAAGATTACACATAAGGCACGTGGATATAATTAACAAGTAAACGCGTCAGGTAACCGAGGTCACACGACTGTAATAAAACATTTATATTGGTTACAAAGTCACGTGAATAAGATTACACATAAGGCACGTGGATATAATTAACAAGTAAACGCCGTCAGGTAACCGAGGTCACACGACTGTAATAAAACATTTATATTGGTTACAAATGTCATGAAATACAGTGAAACCACAACCAGGGTCCCTTGTTAGAATCAGGTTTCGAGACCTGCTTTGTTACGTAACGAACAAAACAAATGTGCTATAATAAATACAAATGTATATACAATTGTTTTTTTTTTCTTTTCTGAAAGAGATAGGTAAATATCCTCCATGTTTATAAGTTACCGATACAGTATGGAAGAATATATATATGATACTGGATAGAACAGTTAATGAAACTTAACATTCAACTATTGATGTATTAAAATTCGTCCGACATAAAAGCTCCACAAGGAATCAATCAATAACTATACTGTAACAGTGATGTAATGTAATCAATTTTTTCTACACTCACCAGGGTGAGTATTAAAATTGTTACTTTAATGGAAGCTGCTCAAGACATGTAACTTGAACATGACACGACAATTAACGGTATGTTTGTTTTTGAATTTCGCGCAAAGATACACGAGGGCTATCTACGCTAGCCGTCCCTAATTTAGCAGTGTAAAACTAGAGGGAAGGCAGCTAGTCATCACCGCCAACTCTTGGGCTTCTCTTTTACCAACGAATAGTGGGATTGACCGTAACATTATAACGCCCCTACGGCTGAAAGAGCGACCATGTTTAATGTGACGGGGATAAACTTGGTGGTACTAATTAAATGCAATATTGTGTTCAAACTTTCGTTAAAGTGTTCGATAAAAAAAAAAACTATACAATATAAACATTTAAATCAAAAACTTTAATTAGTTACAAATATTACAATTCATATCTTTATCACTGTTTAAACAAACTGAACATTGAGAATAATAAATAACTTTCGTCAGTAAAGATAAAAAAAAGTTTCTATTTCGCGCCTTTTTTTCTTTTTATAAAGTAACGATTTTGTTTTTTTTGTTATTTGTTGTTTTTTTTTCAAAATTCACACTCAATAACTATTCAAAACGAGGCATACATTTTACTGGTATTATAATTTATGATAGAACCAGGAAAGTATTATATGTATAGTATTTACACGGTAGCCTAGAACAATGTTTTTTTTAAAAAAAGAAATAAAGATCTCTTTTAAAATGTTCATTCAAAACTGTCAAAGCTAAAGTCTAAAAAAAAGCAGGACACGCACAAAACTCCTTGTAAAAATAATTTGAAACAGTTATCAATAACTGTTAATAAGTTTATAGGTGCTATAAACGTTTTCTTTGTTTAAAATGAACATGGCAACTAATGCAATAATAAAGAGCATTAGCGCCATCTAGTGTCTTAAAATTGAACAGTGTATTTTTCAGATATGTGAAGAAAATACGTATTACAAGTTCAAAGGCACATTTTGACGGAATTTCATCACAACAAAATGCCGGTGCCTTTCTTTTGTTGTTTAACGTAAAGTCAGTTAGTGACTGTCTGGTCTAACGAGTTCGTAACCTTCGCGATCCACTCTAGGTAACTCACTACACGCGTGTACACACCAGGAAATCCCTCTTCGGCACACTTGTGTCCGAACGACACCACTCCCGTCACTATCCAACTACTATTGTTCACTAGCATCAACGGTCCACCAGAATCGCCCTGTGGGGATTAATACATATAGTAAGTATTTTAAACCTTAACTTTATTCTGCAAAACCTGTTAAAACAAACTAAATATTTGATTAGTTCTAACAATTTTCTAATCATACGTTCCTACAACAAAATGATAAAACAATCAAATGTACAAGAAAAAAAATGTCGTCATACGTCACGTAAGGTTTAACAAGGAAATATCACCGACCTAGCTTGTTACTGCTCAAATTCTGTCAGTTTAGGTAGTTAGTGTGTGCTTACAATACAGTTCGCACAAAATTTCGGCCACTGGTCAATACATTGTAATTCTAAACATTCTTGTATTTTTCTTTAAAACACAGCGTTAGTTAATATAATTTATATTAACTTCAAAATGAGCTAGTATATCATCCTGTAATGTCGTGTCTGTTAAAGTAATTTTCAACAATGTGGTTGCGCTACAACTTCGGAATGTCTGAATAAGCCATTTTGTAAATAACAGTATTCTAGCGAATCATTAAAAAAAAAATGTTAGTTTACTTATTTTACGGTGAATAAAGGTTCAGACAAAACTGAATCTTAGTCTTTTCGAATTTCCCTCATCTACAATATACATTGAAAAATCCAGCTTGAAAAAAAAAACATTTGATAAAAAACAATAACGATAAAGTGAATTATTTAAAGCTTAAAGCTAGTACAAAAAGTTTGTGCGAAAATGAGTTTTAAGGACGTTATATGAATCGTTATATGTAGGCTTAATACAAGTTAAGCCTATTTTGCACTCGCTAACGATGTTTAGCTTGTGTATACGTGCGTAGCTCATTCATACAGAAGTTATGGTGCATCCTTACTTTGACGAAAAAAAAAAAAAACTCAATGAACAGGGCTCCGCAGATCTCACAATTTACTTTAAACGAGTGCTACATTTTGAGCATGTTAATATAACTTAACGATAAATTTCTCATTAACTGTAGGAAAGATTACTTTAAATACATATCAACCATACAGAATTTTAAGCCTTTTCAAGCTAACTAATAACTGTGCGCCCTACGTATATTTATAGTTTAAACACTTACTTGACAAGCATCTTTCCCACCTTCTTCCAATCCAGCACAAATAAACTTTTTCGTTATCCCATTTTTAAGAGCAAGGGTGTTGAGCTTCTGATAGGCTTTGTTACAGTCACCGATTGGAACAACGGGGATACTAACCTCGCGCAGAACTTGACTTCGTGGACCGGCTGTGTAAAATTACACTTGCATTAAGAAGAATACTAAATAACAACTATTACATCTTCAACTACACCTCTTAGACATCAAATCAAGATAATCAGACATTTGCCAAACAGTCGAATTAAAAGTTGCATCATTATACTTATAATAAAACATTAGTATTAAGCCTATTCTATTTTATAACACTACAATCTTAATCTAGTCCATCAGGGATTTAAGAGTTAGTGTGTCATGATAGTATTCCAATCACATTATATTCTCCATACCCACTGCCGACGACGCGTTTATCTCAATCCAGATCTGATTAGGCCGGCTGGTACACAACAAACGCAGTAGTAGTCTTAACACTATTTATATAAGCCATTTGTTATAACAATAATTGTAACGGTATGAATGGCTTTCCGAAGGCTTAGTATTAGGCCTATTATATCTTGTAAACTACATTAAATATGTAGTTCCTTCGGGATTTTCAAAAATTAGAAGAATGATAATATTTCAACCATTATTTTCACAATAAGTTGTATTAACGTGACAAAGAAGACAACCGTCTTTATTTTCCTTGTTGAAGTATATTTTTAGAAAGTTAACATTAAGCCATCTATGATGGGAGGGAGTCACAAACGAATAGATTGATATTTTCCTCATTATGGGTTGGGTGTAGTTAAATTTGAAACTTCTACATCAAAATAATCAAATTTAACATTAAGTTGGAATGACATAAAACCACACAGACATGAAACCTTTTTACTATATTAAAACCCTAGTTGAATTTTTAGAATACTTTATCTAATAATCCTTTCCCTGGATACTTCCTTTTGAATGGCCAAATCCCCAGAAAGATAAATTCTGCATAAAATTGTTACAACAGAAAAATAAATACGTGGTCAACTGTCAAGGTCTTAGGCCGACACTTTGACCTCTTATTTCCCTTTCAATTACAGAGATCAATTTTTTTTTTTTGCCATTTCTGTTACAACATGAAATCTCCAATGGCTCAGTGGTAAGCTTGAAGGCTTATACGCTAAAAATCAGGGTTCGTTACCTATGGTTTGTTTGTTCTTAAGCACAGCTACACAATGGACTATCTTTGCTGTGCCTACCACGGGTATTGAAACCCGGTTTTTAGCTTTACAAGTTCTCAAACTGATCGACTAGGTAGCGTTACCTGTGGTGGGCACAGCGCAGCTAGCTCAAAATGTAGCTTTGTGCTCAAATACCAGAAGAAACTACACATCTTGATATGGAATTTAAGCCTGAAATTCCTGACTTTGTTGTTGTTTGTGGGATATCCATACTGTATCATACTGAGTAATGGTATGTCATTTCTTTGTTACTTGTTGTAAATAACACGGATAAACTCACTCATTTTTCACGTGAGACTTATAGAAAACTCCAGTAGCAATTAGTAGAATTAAATAAAATTTTGTTGTCTGATTCATACGTTATTAGGGGTCTTGTAATCAACAAAGCCGTGCACTCAGAAGCAATAGGGCCTATTGATCAAGGCGCTCGACTCGAGGGATCGAAACCTGACACCGTACACATGGACGTCCGCAGAATATATTGCAGAGGGGGCAATATGATTAAATAAGATCAAAGCCATAACTAAGAAAACGCAAAATTAATAATCCAGGGGGAGCAGATGTCTACCTTTTGGACGCCCACCCATGGCGGAAGATGCTAGTACTTACATTCGTGGGGGACATGACAACCTGTCTCAATCTATCTCACTATTAGTTGAAAAAAAGTAGCCAAAGTGGTGGTAGTGGGTGATGCTGGCTTGTTGTCCTTCGTGTGGTCAGCATTTCAAAACGAGGAACGGGGGGCAGATAGTAACTTGAATTAAAAAAACTGATAAAGGGAGGTGGGGTATATGAACCCCTATGGGTAATTCTAGGTTTAATACAGTGTTACTATCATTGGCCTTATAAATTTATCTTAACTTACCGAAATCCAGATCACCCCATCCAGCTACTGTCACCCTTCTGCCTTTTAATGAATCTGTTACTGCCTCTGGGTCAGGGAGACAGATTGGACGGACCAAATCAGTAAAATTCAGTTCCTCTTTTAACACAATGATAGCAATATCATTGTAATTCTCCCTTTCTACGTAGTCAGGATGGATAATCACATCTTCCACATGATATTCTTGACCCATCTTTACGTAGTGGCCTCCTACGCGGACAGCTAAGCGAGTTGGGGTCAGCCTATGTGAGGGGAGGGGAGAGAAACATTACACTAAATGTTAATAATACGCTACAGAAATTTTATAACGTTTAAAGAAAAGATAAAAATTATTTATATTAACTTACAATCACTTTAAAAGCTAAGTAGGTATAGATTCTAGGCAGTTACTTTAATTGGTTGAATATTGGTCTAGAGGTGTGACAGCTAGAAAGAATTCATCTTTAGGTCTAATTCGAACACTAGAAATTTATTTGTTTATCTAATCTACAATGTACTGTTATGATTCATTGGTGTAGCATGTACTTAGGGGGTTGAGAGACAGTTTACTAAAAGGTCCCAAAGAACCAGTTTTAAGACGAATGCGCGAAAAGAAAACTATTGGACTGTTGGTGGGGTGGGATGTGGAGAAACGAGACAATGCAGATTACAAACGAAGCACCTGACCACCAATTCCAAATAATATATTTTTCTCATAATTTTAGGACAAATAAATTCGAGAACTATCTTCCAAAAAGTAAGAGGGAAATTGTCCCCCCTCCCGTGAATATGCTAGTGGTACAACTATAAACCTAGGATGCTCATTAATGGCTAAAGAGTAAAGTTGAGCATTTATAACTAGAATTGTAGGTTTGATATCCGCAGCGGCAACGGAGCAATAGCCCAGTTACAAAAACCAACTTATTAATGAAGGCAAGAAACAACTTTAAACTGTGTTTAGGAGCATATTTTACCACTTTTTACAATGTTTTTTAGGTGTTTTCTTTTAATCCCACGGTTACCCTGACAACCAAGGAAGAATCGTAACCCCCCCCCCCATTGTTTCTCAACAAACTGAAAATTTTCCTACAAAACTTCTTAAGACTATTCGACATTGGTTTTTGAAATGCTTCTACCTTTGCATAAAATTGAACTGTAATTAAACGCACAATAAAAGAAATATGAATACGAAGTTATATTAAGTTACAATAGCTAAAACTAGACGTATTGCTTCGTACAATCCATAAGGAGTGGATGTTTAAAATCCATTCCACCTCGCATACGTATTGAATATAAATAAATAATCAGCCATTTAAACTACAATTATTAAAGTCTTAGACGCAATGTTTACTAGTTACTTCTATATCAACGAACCAAACTCGTCACAAGACATTAGTATTAGGCCTATTAATATTACGTTTATTAACACTGCATTCTTTATCTAGTCTCTCTCTATTATTATACATTATTGTCATCAAACTCGTCACAAGACATTAGTATTAGGCCTATTAATATTACGTCTATTAACACTGCATTCTTTATCTAGTCCCTCTCTATTATTATACATTATTGTCATCAAACTCGTCACAAGACATTAGTATTAGGCCTATTAATATTACGTCTATTAACACTGCATTCTTTATCTAGTCCCTCTCTATTATTATACATTATTGTCATCAAACTCGTCACAAGACATTAGTATTAGGCCTATTAATATTACGTCTATTAACACTGCATTCTTTATCTAGTCCCTCTATTATTATACATGATTGTCACCAAACTCGTCCATGACATTAGTATTAGGCCTATTAATATTACGTTTATTAACACTGCATTCTTTATCTAGTCTCTCTCTATTATTATACATTATTCTAATTCTTGAAAATCCCTAAGAGACTATAGATTATGAGTAGATAAAGTAATCCATTGTTAAAAATATAATAGGCGTAATCCTAATTCTTATAACAAGTATAATTACGGATTTTATTGTTTCAAATTTACATATTTCATAGCAACAAAATGTGTTTCAAAAAGTAGCTTAAAAACAGGAAAAAAAACGACTGGATACGTTATAGAAACGTAGCAAACTAATATTATGATGGCAAGTATCAAACAAAATAAAAAAAAAAAAATGTCAGAAACTTACTTTCGACCTCCAATGAGGAAAGCGTGGGCAGCAGACAAAATGTACTTGCTACTGATTATGCTACCAGCACAATGGAATCTGCCAATGCCAAAATTTTTCACAAAAACAGCTGCCTGTGAAAATATCAAAACTTAGATTTTTTTCATTAAGTAATTTAACTACAGATTAGGCTTAGACACTGCCAGTAATTTAACTTTAGGCCACTAGTTGTTCAAGTATGAAACTGCCCTCTGTTGTTTTTTTATATTACAAAATATAACAATAATAAATATAATATTGTTAAAATAAATATCAGTTTGTCCTCTTAATGTGCATTATTTTCAGAAAAGTACTTTTATTGATGATAAATTATAATAGATCTAACAATTATAGTTATGTACTGTAAAAGATTCAAATATACCAGTTTAAAGTTGATGAAATGTAAATATAACCGAAACTTATGGGCTTCAGTCGTAATTCATATTTAAACGTTTGTTAATGGAGCCAAAATGTGCCTTAGCCTCCCCGTAGCGTCCGCACCCAACGAACAATGCTTATTGTTAAAACTGGTTCAATTTCTCCTTACACCGCTACTGATTTTAGCGTATATTTATTAAATTTAAGACTGAAAATAGGAAAGAGGAACTCACCATCCAAGGCCAGGCGCCAATTTTAGCTTCTACACCTCCAGCAATGATTCCTCTCCCACCCTTCAAATCTTGAGAAGTAGATATGGGAGGAAGTATTGGTGACCCCGAACGTCCAATAGTTGTAATATCTACATTTACTTTTCTTTTTCCACAACCTGTTGAACCACCAAATAATTAGAGTGCATAATAGTACCAAGTTTACTTGTAACTCGTTAGATGATTGAAAATTAAGACGAGACAGTTTAAAAGTTTAAAAAAGTACAAAACACAGGAAAATTGTCTTATCACAAGATTCGTAACATCGATTAAGTTGGCTGATATTAACATAAGAATCACAAATATGGGAATTTGTTAGTTTGTTTTTAGAGCAAAGCTACATTAGGCTATCTGCTCTGTTCACCGCAGGGAATCGAACCCCGGATTTTAGGGGCGCAAGTCAGTAAGTGTAACGTCATTTATAACACACACACAGAAAAAGTATAGATTTCATTGTAACAATTGAGACTAAGGCAATCTCAGATTTCATTTGTGAAGTTTTATTTCCTTTATCACAACGCGTAATTTCAGTGAAGAAAAAGAGACTTCGTGAATGACTACAGGCCCAATCTATTCTTTTATTTGCTACTCCCTCTGCAGTAGACTAGCTTTGCTGAATTCACGGCTCATCAATACCGCGTGGGATAGCAAAGTAAATACATACATTAGGACCATATATCAATACCTACAAAACTCAAACTTTGTTGTTTTCGTCATTATGAAACGTTTGAGATAGAAGTTAAAAACTAACTATCTAACTATTGTTCAATGTCATTATGAGTCACGTACCTGGTATATGTAATCTTGGAATCTTTGTTTCTTTTGTAGGGACAATAGTTGTAACTGTTGTGGTTACACTTGGTGCTGCTGCATCAGGACAACATACAATAGGCTGAAACCGACCATTCCAAGAGCAAACGACAGGGAAACTATCCTTCAACGTAGCCAAGACAGCAGGACAGTCTGTGAGGGACTTGCAGGACCCTTTTAATCCACCTTTTGCTGTACACTGTTTATTATCGTTCTGTGTCTTAGGAAAGATGATCCCCACTGTAAAACAATGAACGGTTACTAATAATCTCTCGCTACATTATAACTGTTCAAATATATCTTAAAGTGGATGAAAACGATCTCATTTCTTCTAAACTCTTACAATTCTAAACAATGTATCATCGTAATAAATCTTGGTCACTGTTTCCCAGGGGTTGACCCCCATTGTCATAAGATCTTAAACAATCTGTCGAAAGATCTTGGTCACAGAGTCGTGGGATCATTTTCCAAGTGCCCAAGTTTGGTCCATGGCGTCGCAAGATCTTGGCCACAGCGTCTAAGTGTGGAGTCTACAGAGTCCTAAAGATCGTAGTCAGTGTCCAAATGCGCCATACAATGTCATAAAGGTTTAATCCCAATGTCCAAGTTTGGTCTATGGTATAATAAGATCTTGGTTACAGTACTCCAAGTATGGACTAGAGTATCCTAGAGATCTTGGTCTCAATGTACAAGTGTGGAAAATACAGTATCCTAAAAAATCTGGGTACCAATGTCAAAGTTTGGCACACACACACACACACACACGTCTCAGCCACAATGTAATGTTGTCGAACAGAAAACTACACAAACACTTAAACTACCACAGCCTTCACGCAGTATAGAGCGATGAAGGATAACTAGTAAATATTAAAACACGTGTTGTAGGAACCGTTGTTATAGAAATATATATGTTAATCACCTTCTCGAACAGAGAAATATATTATGAAAGATTTCGGAGGTGATATAAAGTGTATCTTACCTCTACTAACTTTATTACTCAACGTACTAGAAGCCAAAGCAAACAACGTTATCACACAAATCCACGCCATTCCACAAAGTGGTATTAATTGTCGGGCTAAAGAAGAAAAAGAACATAATGGAACTTCTGAAAAACCATATCAGTAGCAGAAGTGTTAAAAAATATAGACAATTCAAATATCAAGTTTACTCCATATATAAATCCACATTAACAGCAAATTAAACTAACAGGTGCTTCTCTCTCTTCACTGCAACCCCCCAGTAGCACAGCGGTATGTCTGCGGACTTACATCGCTAGAATCCGGGTTTCGATACCCGTGGTGGGCAGCGCACAGATAGCCCATTGTATAGTTTTGTATTTAATTACAAACAAACTTTTCGCTGCGATAAGACCAACAAAAATATTTTGTTGGTTTGTGTATTTGTTTTGATGCTAAGCGCAATGCGACACAATGGGCTATTTGGGCTGTGCTCAGTAAGGGTATCGAAAAGCAAGTTTTTTTAGGGGGGGGGGGCTGGTTTGTGATTGTGCTTTTGTTTAAAATAAGATTGTATCATATTTAAGAATTAGGTTGTGTTAAACTAACAGTAAAGTATTCGAATAATTACCGTTGTTGTCGATGATTTGTCTTGATAAAGTTAAGAGGAATACAGGCTAGAAGGTAAGTAAATAAAATCATAAAAAAAATGTGTAAAACACGACTACAGCTTTAATCGATTCAATCAATGATATCCCTTACGGATCACTCACTTACAAAGATTGAGTTGTATCTAAATGTTTTTTTTTTTGGTGACACAAATTTTCCAACTTCGGAACCTCTGGTCATCATGAAACTTTTAGGAGTTCTTGGGTATGCCTCAGAAGGAACATAAAACCCTTACTTCTTTCGTTCTCTTATTTTTACGAATTTGACAGCCAAGGGCATGATGTCTACCGGGGTAGCATGTGGGGGAAGACCCACCACTGGAGAGCTTTGCTCTCAGCAGTCCCCCCCCCTCCCCATCTGAGATATCAGGGTTTAGTCTTTCAAGGTTTTTAAATTCCCCTAAGACTGCAACTCCCACTGGCATAAAAGTGATTTTTTTTGTTTTGTTCGAAGTAGATGTGTGTGTGTGTGTGGGGGGGGGGTATATAATATTATGTGAACTGAACTGAAACAATATTTTCAAATCAGACCAGACCGATGGAGCGAGTTTAATGGTAGTTTGAAACAGCATAAAATTACCGAGAAGCTGTGGAAAGAGAGAGGCTGAGGTACAGCATAAAATTACCGAGAAGCTGTGGAAAGAGAGAGGCTGAGGTAATTTCAGCTTTCTTGGTAATTAATTAAAAAAAAAAAGCATAAATATACACTTCTTACGACATTTAATAACACTTCACTCATTTTCAACTAACTTTGCTTCCTACCCCAAATGAAAATAATGCTACAAACTCCACTTGGACAGCTTTTTTTAATATCTCACCCTTCTTAGTGTCAGCGACTTAACTCAATACTTATTCACTGCCCACTGGCCAGCCAATAACTGTATTTATAAGTGATCATTATTTGATGAAGAACTGGTTGTAGCTTTGTTGAACTTTTAACAAAGTTTTCTTCATTATCCATCCAAGTCGTCTTCAAACTTTGTAATAAATTCTTGTTCTAAGTACTTTGCAAAGCCTCTCCGTCATTACATCATCACTACGACCGTATATTTTATTTTAACGAAACTGGGCTGTTCAAAGGACCAAAGTTACTGTTACATTTATAACGCCATCCCACTGTATTGTCAAATCCTGTAATATGAACGTGTGCGACTTAAAAAAAAAGGCTTAAACTTTCACTAATTTAAGATAACATATGCCTACAATTACAATGAATTATGTAAACTGTTTCTTTAGACTAACGAGTTAATTATCGTCACGTTATCATTAGAATTAGTAAAACGTATCCGGATTACAGAGTAATGACATGCAAGACTTAACGACACACTGTACGTTTTCTTTAACGTTAATTTGTCCTAATCGTGGCTGTATTTAGCAGTTATCAGCTTCCTCTCGATAGCTACCTCTGGTGGTATATTACGTAAATATACTACTATATTGTTCAGTTTAATTCATTTATTATATTTTGTGTGTGGTGAGGAAATTGAAAGACTTGAAGTAAAAGTGAACGCAGATAACAAGGAGTAACCTGTACTGTACCTTCTACGAGTATCGAAACCCAGTTTTGTTTCAGCAGTACCAATCCTCAGACTTATCGCCGAGTCACTGGGGGCGCCCATGGTGCAACTTTCTTTGATATAGGTATATATACACACACACGTAAAACTAGATGTGTTATGACGAAAACACCACGATGAACAAGTTATGGTGACATAAATATTTAAACAAGTTCTAAAAAAAAAAGGACGTTCTCTACTTATTTAATTAAAAATTTGTGTACGCCACAATTATAAGTATGAAAATACCTTTTTAATAATATTTTACACTATTATACAAGGTAGACATAAGGACATTTAATTCTTCAGTTTAAAAATCGTATCGAACAGGCTAGGAGTAAGTCGGTGTGAACAAACATCCACACCGAACCGAATAGGGCTAGGAGTATGCAGGTGTGAACAAGCACCCACACCGAACCGAATAGGGCTAGGAGTATGCAGGTGTGAACAAACACCCACACCGAATAGGGCTAGGAGTAAGTAGGTGTGAACAAGCACCCACACCGAATAGGGCTAGGAGTAAGTAGGTGTGAACAAGCACCCACACCGAATAGGGCTAGGAGTAAGTAGGTATGAACAAGCACCCACACCGAACCGAATAGGGCTAGGAGTAAGTAGGTGTGAACAAGCACCCACACCGAACCGAATAGGGCTAGGAGTATGCAGGTATGAACAAACACCCACACCGAATAGGGCTAGGAGTATGCAGGTATGAACAAACACCCACACCGAACAGGGCTAGGAGTATGCAGGTGTGAACAAACACCCACAGTCCTCTGAAGCATATTTAGTTGCCCCAGCTACGTGAAAATATGAACGATTTATCCTGGGCAGAACGTAATTTTTGCGATACGTTTGCCTGGTGAGTACGGCCCTAGAGTATTACGGTACTTGCCAATTTACACCAAGATACAGGACCGCTAATGATTTGAGCTTCTGAATACGGTTCTGCTGTGTTGTTAATTAAGCTGAAAGCAGATACGGCAGATCGTAGAATTAATGTTGAAAGGGTAAGTCAGTTCACACACTCCCGGCCTCCCCGAATCCACCCTGGCAACGCCCCTCTAATTCACTCTACTTTATTGTTACTACTTGGTTCGTTGCGTTAAATGCACAACTATCCTGTTAGTTGTTCTAGGGTTTTTCTGAGAACAGTCTGCCAACTTTTAAGTACCTGTCTGTGTAATAATGCAACACTAAATTTGTACACCAATGTTTTGATCTGTCGATTTAACGTTCTGCAGGAATTACCCTGTTTCGCAACGAGCTAACATGAAATTTCAAAATAATGGCTGGGGACGGCTTGAATGGGTAATGAAGAAAAACTTTAATACATAAGTTTAACATAACAGCAAATGTACAACGTTTCGACAAGGTTTTGTCATCGAATTTGAAAATTCAAAAGTTGTAAAGGTTACCACTAATTTTTTTTTTTTTAATTTTAGAGATACGATTTTTTAAATTCCTATAACGTAGCATCTGGCGGCAGCGGTAAATTTGTCGGCTTGTAACGCTAAAAACCGGGTTTCGATACTCGTGGTTAGCAGAGCACATATAGCCCATTGTGCAGCTTTACGTTCGACAACAAACAAACCCGCTCAATAAATGATCAAGGAGCGTTAAATGTCTAATGTCCAAAATGTGAATAAAGCTAAGCCTAACGATTTATATATATATATATATATATATATATATATATA